GTGTTTCTGCAGCATAGAAATAAGTTCTGAAGGTTTTAATGTTGCCTTTGTTTACTGTAAGTAATGTTTTTGTCTGAAGAAAATGAAATAGCATTGTTTAATGGATAGAGCTAAATTTAAGGTTTTGGCAAGAAACCTGAAGACTCTTCTTTTTTTGACATGGCTTTATTTTACTTATTTTGTATTCTTTAATAGCATGGATGGCCTCTGTAAAGATCAGATTTGCTTACTTATTTATTGAGTGTGTTTGATTTTTGTTTTGGAGTGTAATGAGGTCCTGTACCCTCTTCCTCTGTCTTGGTTTCCACCTTCTGTTTATAGATGAGTCAATATATAGTGCCATACTAACCTGTTTTTTACGGCAGGAAAGAACCTGTGTCAAGAGGGCAGGATATAGGAAGCATTATTTTGCAAATAAAATTTATTTATCTGTATATGCGTGTATAAAACCAACAGAATAAGTCAGCCGTTTGTTTTCATGATTATGTGCTAGTGACATGGTTTTAATGCTCGACTGCAGCTGAACGAGCATGTTATATCTGATGCCTTATGTCAGTGAGGCATCAGCTATGCTATGCTTGTTTCGTTATTTTGTTTTGTCACGTCAGTCTTCCCTGCTTCTCAATGCAAATAGGTCCTTAGGTTTAAAAGCATTAGCATCAGCAGGGGACTGCTTTGGTGAGGAATCGTGCGTGGTATCAGGCTTAAGATGAAGAAAGAGGAGGGGGGGGAAAAAAAAAAACACAAACCAAAACGCTAACCAGATATCTGAGTTACCTGTCAGCCACGCAACCAGAATGGATTTCATAGGCAGACATTCCTGATGCTGTCTTAGCCCCTCGGATGTTTCAGCCATATATCGTGTTGCTAACGAAAGTGTTGTCATCCTCCAGAAAATGAGTGTGCTGTCAAAGAGGAAAACATCCGTCTTGCTCAGGAGGTGGGCTGGAAACAGTGGGATCGTTGCAGTCCTTACTGCTTACAAGACATCCAGAGCGTTGTCTTTCTTAGAATTAACCTTTTTGGTTGTGTCATGTTCTAGGCAGCTGGTAGAAGAGTGCTTTGCGTGCAGTCACAATATGTATTTACGTGACCAGTGGGTACATGGATGTAGCAAACATTTCACAGAAGCAGAAATGTATTCCCGGAGGTACAGCTACATTAGAGAATCACGCTTTTAACAGTACAGAGTGAGCTTGGTTTGTTGTCAGATGGTTGTGAGGATATAGGAGGAAAAACAGCTCATGTTTTTGTTTGCTTTGGTGTATCCAATTGCAGAGATTAAACTGAGAAGTTATTTATTCTTTGTGTGCTGTTTAGCAGAATTGTGATGCACTGATATAAAATTGTTGCAAATATTTTGAACTCGTTCTTTTTCCTGAATAAGCTTTTTTTTTTTGAAATACAAATTCTGCTGTTTCAGTTTTTTTTTCTCTGTCGATTATTTCCATTTGACACAAATGGTGGATGGGCCCATAAACTTCAAGAACTGTGTCTAAATCTTTTTAACGCTTTGTGTTTGTTAAGGAACTTGTGTTTGTTCAATAACTTGATAGCTTTGTTGTAAAATGAAAAGTGTGCCTAAAGTTGCTGGGAAGTCGGCTACATTCTGTGTCTGATTGCCAGGAGAGTGAGGTGTCTGCCATGTCTGAAGAGTAATTTAGCAAGGGCACGTAGAGTTGGTTGGAAATTATAACATGCTTTCAATATTGAAATAAGCCTGTTGACATTGGAAGCTGATGGGTTAATATTTTGTATCAGTGCTTAGTCATGCAGTCTGTAAGACTTGGGAATTGATCATTGTGCTGTGCTGTAACTCGTGATTTGCATTTAAAAAAAAAATGAAGAAAAACACAGATTTTATGGGATTCACATCTGTAACTTGTGCTTGGTCTGTGTAAAAGAAATCTGCAGGTGTAACACTTGATTTTCAGCTCATAGTACTGTTTCTGATATAAAAATAATGTACCATGTTAGGGCAGCTCAAACATGTATCTTGCTGAAATTTCTGGAGCATGTGTGACACAGGTGGAACAAGAAGTCAGGGCTTTGTCTTGGTGATTCTATTAGAAATATGCATCGATTTGGCAGCAAGTGATACACAAAAGCAACAGATTGTTTCTAATAATTTCACTTTGAACTAAAATCTCCCTCATAAAGATAAAAGAATCGCCTCGTTCTGTAGGTATCAGCTGGCTGGCCAGGCCTGCTTGCAATGCAACGTGTAGTCCGTATCTCCTGTAGACCATGGAAGCAGTCTCTCTGTGCCTTGTGTTTCTCAGCCTGGTTGTGGAGTGATAGAATTTCTCTCTCTGTTGTTTTTGGTTTTGTTTTATGTATTTGAAGTGTGAGTGTGAGCTTGCATCTTAATAAGAGAGCTTCTTGGCTGCAGCCATTGAAGTC